CTTAGAAAGAGGTTTCGTGGAGCACTTGGAAGACCCAGCAATATACCGTTGTTTGTAAGGACACTTGTGTAATTTAGGTATCCAATACAGTGATGGAAGATCCTGTTTTTCATCTTTGGTTGGAATTCCAAAAGAACATAGAACAGACCTATGATTATCCAGGATTTCCTCTTTAGTAAGTGTCGTGGGGGTATATGTTGAGTTTCCATGTGAATTGTCAATACCTAATTCATTTATCAAGCAGTTTTTGTAATGTGATTTACACACAAAAACGATGTTGTTTGGGCCTTTATCTGCGGGGACAACACCATATTTGTAATGAAGGTAGGACAAGAGTTTAGCAACATTTGGATCTCTAAAGATTGATGTAGCGTGGGTATTAATAGACCCATTCAGTTTCTTAATTCTGATTTTTATTAACGACCTCACAGCCTTAATCCTTTTGAAAAGTGTATCTACTCTACGTCTTCTTTCTCGCGTTTAACCCATTGCCTGGCATAATCCTCGACTGAATCTATCAGTATTTTGAAGTTGTGTTTCCAATTGATGTATTAAGGTTCACGATATTTCGGGCCTTTGGATAACACATTTCGCAGAGAAATGTTATTGAAAATGTTAAGGTCACCAGTAATAATGTGGCCAGTCGGATTATATATGAATGGGTAACTAGCACAGGTGCAATCAGGAGGTTTAGACTTGAAGTCGTCAATATTTAGATCCTGCAGCACGTGTTTGTAAATGAAAATTTTAGCTGCAATTGGTTTGGTATAGGTATAAGAAATGATAGGTACAGACTGATCTTTATAATAGGAAGGTATTTTCGAGTGAACTAATTTATGATGAAGGATATTGCTCAAGTTGATGGTATCGAGACCTTTGTTGGCAAAGGAATGTTTAAGAAAGGAACTTTTCTCTTTTTCATCTTTTCGCTCATGCAATAATAACAGCTCACTAAATATAAAATACCGTTAGGCCGAAAACTTTAATTCAGTCAGGAGCCTGTTTTTCAGTGGTTGTCGTTTGTTGGTGTGGTTCATAAGTGCTTCTCGTTTCTCGTTTTTTATATAGATTAGACCGTTGCTTTTTCTGTTTGAATTATTTTACACAAGTCTGTTTTGGGCCCTTTATAGCTTGCTGTTCGGTGTGAGCCAAGGCTCCGTGTTGAAGGCCGTACTTTGACCAATATTTTTTTAATTTTTACACCATGTGACTTGGATGAATAGTTGTCTCATTGGCACTCATACCACATCCTCTTATTTATATGAAAGTCCTGCACAGAAGGGGAATACATATATGTGATTATACCTTCATATTTAAAAATCTTAATCCTACTCAGAAGGGAAATATATATTTGTTATAATAACTCCATAATATTACTATTAATATCATTCCAAATATAGTATGAAAGTCCCAAGTTAAATCAAACGTGAATCCCATTGATCTCTGTCCACACATGTATATGATAAATACAAAAATGAGGCAGAAGATACAAAGGGAACTTTCAAAAGTCATAAGTCAAAGAAAAAGTGGCAACGCCATGACACCAAGACGAAAGACATCGAACAAACAAAGAATGAAATTTAAAAAAAACCCACTACACAGCGAACTGAAGACTGAGCAACACGAATCCCACTACAAGCTGTGGTGATCTCATGCACCAGTATTTTGCACATTGAAAGTACATAGCCGCTGACAAGTCTCATTCGGTGATTCCATAATCGAGAAAAGGGGATTGTGATTACGTATATAAGACAATTGATACATATGAGTGGACACCAATAATACACATATTAAAATATTCTGATGGCGTCCGTACAAATTTCTGAGGGATCACTTCAACTTTACCACTTTGGATATCAATTATAATTGTATTTCAAAAGCAAGTATATATCGATTCTTCTTATTGCAATAGTACATTTGTTTGTCTTTGGTGGGAGACCAGGCGGTGTTTATAAGTCAGGTCTACAGATTATCTCAACATTTTATTTTTAAAGTAACATATGTACAAAAATTGTCTTATTGCATATTTCTGTATCAATTCATGCGTCTGCAGTATTAATCTGTTTTTAATTTTTACGAAGCAATTCATCACAGTGAATGGGCATGAGACAGAAATATTTCTAATGTATTAAAATTTATATAACATATTGTTTTTCAATATGTCTATACAACACGTCAACCATTCCTTCTAACATGAATATAGTTGTAAGCCTATGAAGCTTTTAAAGATTTTAAGTTTATCAACTTTACACTATCAAAATACTAGCTGGAAAAAGAAGGGTAAAAATATAGAAAGATGACATGTTGTCATTTAATTGAGAATTGCCATTACATTTGTTTCTGATCTTCTATTTTGAATTAATCAACTGGATCAATTTCAAAACTAGTTGCTGCAAGGACCGAAAAAAAAAAAAAAACAAAAAAAAAAACCACACACACACACCAAAATACTATTGTTTACGAAGCAAGTAATATATTATACGGAAAAAAAACAAGTCTGGTGGAACATGTCTGTTTTATCAAATAAGAAAATCAACTTGAAAAATAACATTGAAGCATTAGCTTTGCAATGTATTTACCTAACAGGAAAAGTAATCGTTTACACTCAAAAAGTAAAATGTTGGATAATTTATTTTTTTACTATGAATATATATTGTGTAGGAACTAAAAATAGTGTTAAAAAGTTCAGTTAAAAATTGATTATGAAAATGGCATTAAAATATAAGTTTTAAAACTACAAAGAAACAGAGACAGTTCTGATTATAACACAACCGCGACAACAAGACAAACAAACTGCTCATATACACTTACAATGTGACTGTGTTTCTGTATGATCGTCAGTCTTCTTTTTAACTTTGTGTACTCTTCGGAACGCATATAAATACCTAATAGCAGAGGAGCGTTTTCTTTCAGTACTATTTCTTTCTCACTATTAAAAGAGTAGAATAGTATTCTTGAAATCAAAAGAAACAATAAACCATGAAAGGTAAACAACGCAAATAAATAATAGGGACAGAAATCTATTTGGTTCCTGTTGTTATATTTAAACGTATGAAACAAGAACACAATTAAAACAATCAAAGACATTTTATATCTTATCGTCGTCTGTGAATCTTCAATGGTCATCATATACACAAGAGTCACGTGACGGTTGTCATTTGTGGAACAGGAACATTGCGATACATAAGAAATTGTGTTTTACTTCGGTTTTTATAGGATCGCTGTTGTTCAAATCTTCAGTTTGCTCTATAAAGTTTTGCGGATTGTTTTCTGTCTTTTCGTCTTTTTGTCTTTTGACAATCGTGCTTAAATGAATCGACTTATGAGATTGTATTTTCTTAGGTATCATCCTACTCTCCATTGGTTAGACACTTACTACAATTTCAACGGGTAATGCATGCATAACATTAAATGTTTACCTTCTCAATGTTAACTGTTCTTGAAACTCAAACTAACAATATTGCAACAAAAATTTTCTCCAGTATCAACATTTTTATTTGGTGCCAGCTCAAGCAGTTGTATAGTGGTTCATAGATTACAGTAATTGTAGGTTTTCATCAATTTGTTTAATTAATATTCAAAACCTTTGGAATAAAAGCGCACAGAATGTAGTAATCAGTGATTTCACAATAATTTGAACTTAATCATTTCTATTTTCATAGCATGCTATATTTTTGGGTTTTCTCTCTTCTCATTCACAGCTTTCTTTAAAAGAGAAGCGAGAGTTACAAAAGTTATATAACTCATTAGACGAAAACAAACTGACAATACCAGGGCAAAAATGAAGAACAACCAAAAGACATACAACAGTACTCAAAACGAAACATAAAAAACAAAAGAATGAACAATACGAACCACGTAACCGGGGGATCCAACGTGTTTTCGAAGGGTAGGCAGATCTTTCTCCACATGTGGCACCCGTCATATTGCTCATGTATATACATAACAAAATGAAAAGAACACGTAATAAATTTCATGCGTCCGAAGCGCTTTTCTGGATTTACATTCATTAGGAACGCTCACAGCCGAATGATAAGTCTAATTCAGTAAGTAACATTTGAGGAAAAAAAGACAGGGTTGTGGTTGCTGTGTGCTGGTGGTCTGTACCACAGGATTGTGTATGCGTTTAGTGTGGTTAGGGCCATAGGCTCTATCACCGCTGGCTAGCCTACTTTATGGGTGAAAAGAAAGCTGAGTGCGTAAGTCTTTCTGCAAGTACATAGCCCCTACACTGTTCAAGACTTCTACAATGCCTCCCCGCGACAGCACATGGTAACTAGGATTTAGTATTCTAGGCATTATTGTAGAGGATCTCGGAGCAGCAAGGGCCCTCGAGATGCAGTGTGTAGGCCCATCGGCGCGTGGACTCGCCCTTGCACTCATCAACCTTGTCCCAACTATGGGTAAATAGTACCGCTGCCTTGTGGTTAGATCTGGGAAGATCAAAAGGCTATGGGAGCAGACCCAGAAAGAAAAGCCGGGAAGATGGAACTCGTCAGCCATGGCAGGCAACCATCTATGGGAAGGAAAACCTAGACAACAAAACTCCATCCTACAGGTAATAGGTTTCTCGTATGGCTAATCACCAGACAGAGTAAAAAATTGATGATTACGGAAACCCAAAGGGCCTTAAATGCCGACCGGCATGAAGAGGATAGGTGAGGTGAGGTAGTTGATGTGTTTGAGCTTTTGATTTTGCAATTTGACAAAGGACTTTCCGTTTTGAATTTTCCCTGGAGTTCGGTATTTTTGTTATTTTACTTTTTACGACAACTGGAACTATTCGTAACGCTCTATTAGCCTTTGTTTAATTTTTAACAAATAGAATAGCTAATGGAACGTAAATAGAAAACTAACAGGGGTCTTGACTCTTCTAAGTAATCAACGATAACATCTACTGCCTTTCCAGAACCTTTCGTCAACAAAACTGGAACGTTTCGTCTTAAAGCTGATTTTATCTGGTGAATAGTACTTATATCACCTTCAACAGCAATCATCAATCTCATATTAATCAAAGCTGAAAATGTATGAAAAATGAAATAAAACTTTGATCAATTCAAAATACATGGAAATGCAAAAAAAAAACCGAATAGACATCAACAAAAGTCGGAAATCACAATTCAGGCGGTGATGCCATAACTTGAGCAAAATACAGTCACCTTTGAAAGTCTTAATGAAGCGTAGTTGAAAAAAAAATAAAAACATTTGAGTTGACAATACGTCAAACTTTAATTCGCTTGGTCAAGAACTCATTGGATGGAAGGAACTGACCAAACAGTTTTTTGAAATATAGAAACTCAAACTGTAGTCAGTGAAAACTTTTTTTAGAAAATTGGTATTTGCCGACTTTTCAACATTAGGGAAAGATGTTCGTAAAAGTAAACATATAAACAGTTCAATTTTTGTCACTTGATTTAAAAATCATGAGAAAGAATTTTTACATTTTTATAAAATATCTACCGATCGAGTTAACACAGTCATCGAAAAAAGATGGAAAATGAAGCCATGGTGAGATTATTTACAAATATTTTTTAGATCCATGCACATCAAGTAGAAAAGATGTGATTGTTAATATATTTGTTCCTTGATCTTTATGAATAGTTGTTTCATTGACAATTATAACACATCTACCTATCTGACATATCAATTTTGCAGAGACAAGACGTTATCATGTATATTTCAAATGAAGACATATCAAAGCACTTACACAACATTTGCGCACTTATTCAATAAATAAATGAGCTTCTTGGAGACAAACAGAAAGAAAAGAGAATAAAGTATTCTGACCAAACATGCATTGTCCTGGTTAGATTTTATTTGAATGATTGGAGACATATATATAAGATATATCATGCGTCAAAGCAGAATATCATATTTCTTGTTCTATTGATAGATTTTGAAAATGTATTCGAATTTATATCAAGGTCATTTTTCGTTGAAACACATGCGTATTTTTATTTTGAGATTTTTGAACAAAATCAACATTTTGCAATAATATTTCTTCACAATAAGTGTATAGTTGGATCGAAATGAGGTCTCAGTACTTAATAATTGGGTATAAAGTTTCATGTTGATCCAGATAAACGTTTGCACTTCAATAATACTTCTCGAAAAAAAAATGTAATTGACAAGTTGTCAAACGTCACTTTTAATTCCCCAATTTCACCAAATAAGTTTTGAATGATCTGTTCATACTATCCTTGATCAAGATGAAATGATAAAATTTCCACTTTATATTATTTACTTTATTTTAGATTAAAACCTGACAAAATTTTGCAATATTTTTCGTCTCAAAATTCTCACGAGGGCCTTTGATAAATAATAAATTTGAGCAAAAGATTCTACATGTTCTTTATTGATTATATTGGTCAAATTCGAAGTAAATAAGACTTTTTACATGTAAATTCAATCCAGTAACAAGTTTATATTTGACAGAGTTGGCTTATTCTAAACAATCATAATTAACAAAATCAGACACCAAAAAGTGAATAATGTATATGGCTTCAAAAAAATATTGCATTACCATTTAAATGGCTTCATAATGCAGAGGTTATTTCGGCACCTTTATATATATATATATATATATATATAAATTACGGAACATGTTAAAGTTGATATTGTCAGATTTATTATAGAAATTGGACACAACACGGTATATGAACTGTAAAGACTTATCAAGTAAATAAATAATATATTGTCAGTTTATTTACTGGTATGAAAATAAGGATTTTTGGTATTAAAGTTTGCTGTTACCAAATTCTAAAAATTATCTAAAATTATGGAATATATCTCCCTCATGCAATGCTATATGATTCCTTGCCCGATTTTGGCTTTACTGTTTTGTCCATTTTGATTTATAAGCTTTTGGATTTTCAAATATTTTGGCCTCGAGTGCAAAATGATTGGAACGGTTTATGTTATTATTCAATTTGAAACTCATTTATCTGTAGGTTTTGGTTTGTTTGTACGCTCACTTAAAAGTGGTTATCATTGCAATCTATAAGAATCAATAATATAAAGGTGAAACAAACCAACCAGATTTTTCCATATATTAAAACATTTTCTTCAAAACAAGAAAAGACATGCATAATGTATTCAACCAAGGTATTATGGGTACAACTTGGATACAGGAGCCAAAGAAAAAAGAACATATGCATTGGCCAAATTGTTTCAATCATTTGACACAAGCTGCATCATTTAATGCACAACACAGCATAGCGCACATAGCGCACATATTGTAATTCCATTCAGCATTGTCAATTAGGTTCTTTTTGACAATGATTGAATTAATTCCATGAATATTAAACCATGCTTGAACTAGCAAAGTGTGTCATATACAATTGAAACATGCAGGAGGAAAACATCAACAAATTCATAAAAAAACATTTCATCAAATAATATAAATGTGAAAGAATAGAGCATGACTTTAAGCTGTCAAGTCCCTGGTTAAATTTCAATATGTATATCTAAGTGAGCGTATAGAATTTATATGCATGTACTTTTAATATTAATCTTATCATCCTGATGATATAACAATATTAGTATTATTTGTGTAAATAGTACTTTTATTCAATTTCTATTGTTATATCATATACTGTTGATCAATAATCTGAGTGTGTGTCAATATAATATATTGAACCCTATTAACTCATTAGAACAAACATATACATTTATTATGATTATAACAAAAAGCAGGTGTATAAACAGTATGTCCAGCTCTAAATTTCCTTAATCTCTGTATTTTACCTTATTAGGAAATCCAGTAATACGTCCTGTGAAAGATGAATATGCTTTCACATGTGTATTTTATATTTTGCTAATTTAACAACTGGCTGATGTGATCAAAAGAAAAAAAAAACAGTAAAACCTGTGTACTGTGTACAGAGCATGAAACTTTGAAATTAAATGGAGAGGTGTTTTTCAATCATAAGTTAGAGTATTGTTCGCATGTTGTTTTTTGAGACCTGTTAAGTAATTACTTGATAATATGTCTTATATGAGACTTGTTAATCAGTTTATTTTTATCACTTGTGATATGTTCACAATTGGCATATTAAGACATTAAGAATAGTTCTGCTTTGCTCAAAATAAACTTTTGATGAAATTTTAATCTGCGACCATATCTGTTTTTCTAACTTATAACTGATTACATATTATTAAGTGGTCTGCTCATTTAAGACATCTGGTATTTGACTATTGCAACTGGAGTACATGAAGTATACTTTAAAGTATTGGTTGAAATAGTTCGAGGTTTGTTGTAATTATATAAATTAGTATGAATATTTTACACTAAATGAAAGATTATAGATAGTTAATTTTCTAAACATCTCGGGATATACAAGATTAAATAAAATTTTACAAAGCAATCTGACTGTAGAACGTAATAATTTTTGGCAGAATATATGCTTATTTATTTTTATTTTGATTGAATTTGTTCGTTGCTAGTTGTCTGCTAGTGTCGTTATATAGAAGACATCATAAATATATAATACCTAGTTCTCCCTCTCGTCCTTTCTCCTTTGATAATAATGGGGTATACTCTTCTGAAAAGGTCTTCAAAAATGGGACAAGTATCGGTTGAACCATCTGTATTTCCTTTGTTTCTGAACATCGCTGAAGACTGGTCTGAGAGTGAGAAGCAAATCAGATTCTTTGACTTTGTTTGCTCCTTCCTGTTTAAATAAACACGATTTTAAATGTTATTAAATGCGTGTAAATTTGAACAAACGCCTTTTAAAATATATGTCATTCTTCAACCAGTGCGATCTAGAGATATAAAGTTTTAACTGGCATTTATTTTTTAACATCCGTGATTTTACCTATTGATACAAAAATGATAAGAAGTCAAATTAGTAATTTTATGTATCGACAGAATGACACAAAAGTTTTAAGCAGTCTGTAATCATTTGTGATAAACACACATGATAACGACCGATACCAATGTTGGATTCATTAAAAGTAAGTATGTATAACCCTGACTGTCACCTTTACCCATAAAGGTTATAACTGTGATTGCCGAAGGGAATAATATATGACAATGAGAACCGAAGTAAATGTGGTACATGTATGCGAGTGATGAAGATATTTTGTTACTCTGAAATAGAAAATTCACTTCCTGGAATATGAACTGAAATCTTTTGTCATGAAAAATCTACGTTGAAAATGATATTCATGTTCGTTATAAAGATATTTCATTTCATTTGAATTTATCCTTCTTACTTTCATCTGTCTGTGTCTTAAGACAAACTTGATGCATAACAAAAACGATTCTTATAACTTTTACACCTCTTCTTCCTACACAATAATTTATTTTCTACAATATATTTTAATGCATGTGATGCTACATCACTGTAGTTATTGCTCCTCATTTTGAAAGCTACATATGTCTGCTCTGCAATAGGTAATATTCATCACCCATTAATCTCTTGGTCGTTAATCTTATTCGACATATAAATGTGTTGTTGCACGCAGAGGGCGATAACAACGTCTTAATCATAACATTAAAAATATATATATAGTTGAGGGGAGCTGAAGCTTAAATCCGTAAATTATTATTATTATCTAATTCATACCTCATCCATTTTTGTCCATGGTCGTATTGCAATTAATGTGTTTCCTTCAATCTTTTCACTAAATGTAGCTCTTCCTAATGTTTCTGAGTTGGTGTCTGCGGTTTCTCTGAATGCATTATGTATCAGTGCGCTAACACCGTCTTTGTTGCCACGGTAAACAACCCAACTCTCTGAAAGTAATTTTAATTCATATTCACTTTATTTATTTATTTATTTATTTATTTATTTATTTATGTTTGTACGTGAGGAAGTAAGCTAATGTAGAAATAACCGTTTGGTGTATACTGTCGCTAAAACAAATCAGAAACACCACTCCTAACAAGTTTCATGAATCGATTAAAACAAACACAAAAGTCAACAAAAAAAAAGGTGAAAATACAAAAACAGTCCAAAGAACACTAAACACAGAAAAAAAAAGATCAACATGAACCTCACCAAATACTGGAGGATAAATAATGTGACATGAACGACGATACGCATTACCTGTTAGATATGCTACATCTGGTGTATTACTTATGTTTATTATATTGTAGAAAAACCACCACCTGATCATGACCATATATGAGAACGGGTTAATTTGTAAAGGTCATTTGAATAATGTATTTTATGAACATTAGCAATAGATGTGTCGATAGTATGTATACACTATATTAATAGGTTGAATAACGTCTTTATATTTACTACTTTAAATTTAGAAATAATGACATACCATCGACAGACTATATAAACTTATAACGACCTATCGATTTAATAAATCAAAATATTAAATGTATTCCAAGAGGTCAGGACGTATTCAGTTCTGATCCGTTCATTTCAACTAAGAACAATGCGTAATATTTTTTTTAAATTATTGTCAATACATTATAAAGGTCAACAGATAAAAAGTTGTTATTCAATTATGAAGATTTCCAGAATTTCACATTTATTTGCAAAGAATGTTCTTATGTTGTTTGAAATTTTCATAACGATCAATCTGAAGTGCTTTAAATTATATGTGATCGCTTGACCATTATACATTAAATAACATTCATTACTGTTTTGATATTTGCATGACGTGCTTCTCGGTGGTGTGTGTCAAATAGTTGTGAAATTATGCCCGTCAATCTTGCATTTTTTTTCAAGCGCGTCTCAAGCGTGCGGTAATTGTTGTCATTTTAATTTTCGATAGATTGTTTTCAACGGACTACTTTTGCAACCGTACACAAATAAAAAAACAATGTTCACAATGGACGAATGTTAGAATACTCGAAATGAAAAGTATAATATAAGGACTCAACTCAATTTTCCCGTGTTTATTATTACATATTATTGATTTATGCAGTCAAAACATTAACATAAAAGTCTTTCTATACTTTATTCGTGTCCAAGTCGATTTACACAAATCAAAACCTCCGAAAATAAAACAGACTTAAGATAGAAATAAAATTGAATGATGGAAAAATTATATATAAACACCAATAACAAATAATTGTTATTTTCCATACTTTTGACTCCTTGAATACACTGCAAAAGTCCAGATGTAAAGGCTGTTGTATTCCATGGTTTTGGAACATAACTCTCCGAGTCACCGATTACTGCTAAAACGAGACCTGGTAAGCTATTGTCGTGTCCTTTAGCAGCTACGTATACTGATCGTCTAACAGTGCTATAAATCTCACTTAAATCATCTTTACGTATTTTCGATTGTGTAACCTGTATTTCTTTACACCTAGAAGTAAAGTACAACACTATTTCATTTTATTTTCTGAGAGTGAAGCTTTGTTTAGTGGCGTAGCTGCAGCGTAGCATTGTAAGCATGTACTTATAAATAATTTTAACAATTTTATTTTTTCCAATAAGAATTTTACGATAATCGTTGACCTTCTGTAGGGGGCTGCCGCCCCAAGACCCCCTGTTTACAATTTATTTTCCAGTGGCTACGCCATTGATTGTTTGTTACAACTGTTTTTGTAAGAGTTATTGCAATAAATTCAATTGGTACAAAAATCAATAAGCAAATTACAATAACATTGATGGTACCAATTTTACTGTCCCAGATGTGCATTTCGACCATTAATGTCTCTTCAGTGATGCTTGAGTCCAAAGTATATGAAAAATTCCTAACTCTGACATTCATTATCAGATACCATATACTAGAAAACTGTAAATTATTGCCTGGAGTTTTAATATGGTTTTTGACCCGAGGCATAGATTGTTTTAGTATTTTTTTTTACTTTGTAATGCTCTTCAACTTTATATTTGATGTGGCTTTCAACTATTTTGATTCGAGCGCCACTGATATGTCTAATGTAGACAAAACGCACATCTGGCGTACCAAATTATAAGCCTAGAATCTTTGATGATTTTGTTGATAAGTTTTGTTTTTAGAGAAAGATATTTGAATTGCATTCTTGGCTATTTTGGAGAATAGTTCGTTACATGATACCTTCTTTTCAGACTTCTTTTTTGTTTGTTTGTGTGTCATTTAAATGCTGCGCTTACCTTGTGGCCGGCAACAATTTGTAACTCATTGTCGTAGTTCATCTGTATTACTGGTATCGGTACCTGTGAGAACAGAAATTCAATAACTAAATGCACAACAGGTAGAGTAAAAATCAACGTTTTTTATCATGTGTTGAAATTCCCAGATCACGATAAGGACTTCCGTGTATGTGCGTAGCTATTTGTAGTCTTGTAAACACATCCATTTTCTGACATAAAAGTTCACGAGGCAGAGGTGTTCACCTTTATAAGTGTAACAACATAATTGAAAAACTGCATTTAAAGATATAACTTCACGTTTATATATTACCGTTGATCGGGAACTCGTCAACACTAGTTAAAATATATTTTTACATGCATTAAGTCTTCATATTAATTCAAATGTAATCAGAGATAATGGCACAAAAACGAGTTACTCAAACCATATTTTAATTTTTGTCATTATTTGATCTTTTGTGGTCTGATTGAAATTTGGATTTAAAAAAAAAAAATTCTAAACAATAAACAATAAGATGGTTTGTCGAACTCAAAATGTCATTCGAGGTACACTTACGATATCTATAAACGATTCATTCGTGAATGATCTTATGTCTGTTCATGTGCAACCTACATTTACATTTTGTATTTTTAAATCGGGCCACTTTTATTAGTTGTGGTATTTTTGAGTCCACTGTCAACGAAACATTTTTTACTACTAGTGTTCTTTTTTTTCAAAGAGGATGTTGGGTAAACTTGAATTACATAGGAACCAAACAAAACAAACAACTAAATGTGAATAAGAATGTACACTTAAATCTGGATACCTATCCAATACCCTTCGCAACGAAACAGCGCCTTAATTGCAATTCCTCCTTTCAATCTCCAAGTGCGACCTTCAACATATTGAAACTCCTTCACCATCATAGCGCAGTTCATGACGACTGACGACTCCTAGCACCGGTTTGATTGGACCTTTTTTGCTAGAAGTCTTTACGATACATTTAAGAAACAGATACTAATATGTGTGTTTTCGTTACGGAAAATAATACGTTAAATGAAATTAAAGACGTCACTGGTGACACAAACGTATCAATCATAGACAAACAAAACCATATAGAATATAGTCATCATAAAAAAATATTATTGGAAAATAGAAATAATGAGATTACCGTTATCATGGTTATGAAGTTAAATTAACAGTTTAGTCGTCATGAGTCTCAAAAATAAAATCTAGTTTCATATGTATCCATTTTAATTAATCTAAAAAAAGAGCCCCACGCTTTTATTTTCGTTTTCATAATGTCAAAAATTCCTGAATAAAATAATTACGAAGCGAAGTCTTGTCATAACTCGTTACATGTACCAAGTATGCATAAGCAATACATTTAGTATTTGTATAGAACGACTGAAATATAAATCAGTAGTTTTACGATACTTTCGGTATAACTGAACTCATAACCAAACAATCTTTAATCAATATTGTTTTCTATTAGTACGTTATTGACGTCTTCTTGTTAGTTTTTTAATTTATTTATTGAAACTCCATATACTGTATGAGTTTTTCTTTCTATTTTTGCAAGATATCTGAAATTACCTCGATCAAAGTATTTGCGGTGACTGAAATTTTCAAAAAAAACTCGATCTAATATTCTCTTTCTGTTAAAATATTACATATAATATTTTTTTTTAATTTTATTTTTTTATCGGATCTGTGTAAAATGTTCGATTTTCCATTCATATACTATACATGTGCGTTATATACTGATAAGCAATGCAAATTCGTTTTCAATCGTTAAAGTAGTTTGCATTCCAAAAATTATATACAAATAAATGTCTGTTGGTCTTTTTTTCTTTTTTTAGCCATGGCGTTGTCAGTTTATTTTCTACTTTGAATGTCATTTTGAGATCTTTCGCTTCTCTTTTTCAAAATATAGAAGGTTTTATTTTTTCAAAATAATTTGGTTGAATCTGTATCTATGCTGAGTTTATTTATTAGCCAAATTGCTATGTGAACCATTGATTGGAATTCAAGATAATATTATCCTGCATACACATTTTTAGAATAATCATGCAGAGCTATGAACGAACTAAGCCACCCTCTAATACAAAAATTGTGGAGATGTGGTATCATTGCCAATGAAAAAGCTGTAGACCTTGATGGACGAAGGACAAATAGGTGAACAATAACAGGTCACCATACGACTTTCAAATATTTTTTTTCTCAACCATATACATATATTACTCGAAAGACTATGGTTTTTAACTATCGAAAAGCGTAGATGGCATAGCAAGATTTGGCACACTGTTTGACAGATTTTGTGTTTTCAAAGCTCATTAACTTCGTATTTATCCGGCCTTTCGTCAATTCTATTGGAGCATAACCGTCGAGCGTTATGTTTTTTTTAAAAGGTATAAGCCTGGTATCTTTGATATATGTTTTATTAAGCTATGAGAAAAATGCATTTCACATTGTAAGCTTAGATATAGTCTGATTGACAAATGGCGTATGCGTCTAATATAGCGTTGTATCATCGTCGTCTTTGTATTTTCAAAGTCGAAAAGTGAAAATGCGAAATTGAAAAATGAATTTATTTTAGTGTACACCTGAGATCATTCCGGTTTTTGGTTTTGTGTGTGTTACTCAGTCATAATTTTTCTATTTTGTGTTATTTTGTCTTTTTTCTTTTTTTTTTTTTACCATGGCGTGGTAAGTTTGTCATCGACTAATGAGTTTAAATATCCCCTTATTATCTTCCGCCTCTCTATTGAGTACTCAACCTCAATAGACTAATAAGCAGTTCTTCAGTCAAAAGGATTAATTCACGAAAGTCACTAACAAACTTCTGAATCGACATATTAATCAAAACACCTGTATTTCGTAAATGAAGGTATACTGCATGGATTATTCATTGTCAATTATTTTGGAACACACGAAATACATGTATGGTAATTTCAGAAAAAGTTTATTGCAGGCGTGTCCATGAATTTTGATAAAATCATTTTAACCAGTTGTCATAATTGACAATCTCGAATGGGACAAAATACTGGAAAAAAAGCAAATTAAATCTCAACGCTACAGCATATAACTTTACAGAAAGTTTACGCTTACCAACGTCAAAAGAAAGACGGGAGATAAGTCTAATTCGGTAGGTTACATTCGAGGAAAATATGAGGGGATTGTAAATACAACAATTGGAACATTTCCGTCGTCATCTGTGAAGCGAATATTCCATAACGGTCTACCAAATCGTGATGGTGTTCGTAAAATGTTTGAAGGAATGACTTTAACTTAACCATTTGAACCTCTTGGCATCATTGCTTTCTTTTTAAGCAGCAACCCTCTATCAAGTAAATCTTGAAAATCATGTATTGAACCTTTTCATGAAAAGGTGCCGTCTTCAAATAATATATATTTATACGCAGAAAACTCCTTACATCACTGACCCCAAATATAAAATATCATGTGCACAGCTTCATGTCACTTAACAGAAAATCCATCTAATCTTGGTACAAATTTGTCGCATCTTTTTTGGGGAGTTGTTGTGAACTGGTGAAGAATTATGTTGCCTGTCGTGTCCAAAGAATGTAAGCAGAAATGGGAAAGTCCCATTTTTAGGAAACCGTAAACACTCATATAAAATTATCAGATGCATAAATTCGTGTCCTGTTGAAGAATCTCTGTAGGTTTGAATGAATTCTGATAACCCGTTCAAGAAGTCCAAGGTATTAGTGGGTACGTAAACTGTGACACGTACAATGCAGAGGCAGATGTATTCACTTTGTGTTACCGCACCTGGGTGATGTAAGACTACACAATCATATAGTAAAATATGAGGACTTTAGATAAGTTGAAGATCACCGACGAAATCTCCCCACAAACATAACGAAGACACGATGGCCAAAAACTGTTATTTGATTTTAAAAAGATCAGAACAAAGATAGAAAAAATTGTAGCCATCCTTGTCATCGGAACTGACACTTCACATTTTTTGTAGCAGTTCCAAGGGTTTTGTGATTGGTGTAATTCTTTTTAAAGTTGTTATTGTTTAAAGTTAAACACCTATAACTTTAAAGTGGTAATAAACATCAATTTTAGGTAATATCTTCCGATCAAATTTTTGGAATTTTATAGATTAAGTGAACAAAACAAAGTATATTTGCATGACTTAAGGATTGTATTCATATAAGGAATGCTTGATAATATGAAGTATTAAGAATTGTAACATGCATTCGAATAAATCAATACCGATAAGTTAAAATTTTATGAGATTCACTTTTAGCTCACCTAGCCCAAAGGTTCAAGTGAGCTTTTTTCATCACTTGGCGTCCGTCGTCCGTCGTCGTCGTTAAATTTTACAAAAATCTTCTCCTCTGAAACTGCCCGGCCAAATTTAACCAAACTTGGCTATAATCATCATTGGGGTATCTAGTTTAAGAAATTTGTCCGATAGCCCCGCTTGCCAACCAAGATGGCTGACATGGCAAAAAATAGAACATAGGGGTAAAATGCAAGTTTTGTCCATTATTTTGAAAACCGTTATAAATAGAGAAAATCTAAGAGGAGCACAAATTTTCAGAATGTTGAGCTCTACCAATTGTTCATATATTTCAAAACTGTCAGACGACTTCTTATAGGTGTTATTTCCCTTAAATGACAAATTTTACCATTTTTATTCATTTTTGCCTATTCTCTTGAAAACTATAATAGATAGAAAGAAACTTTAAACTGCAAAAATAATCAGCAAGACAAGTTCATAAATAAATCTCATGGACATATCGACTCCTTATTAGAGTTATTGCACTTTGATTTTTTTGCGTTTTTGTCTTATATCACAAATATTATAAAAAAATAAAATAACAAAAATACCAAGGAAAATTCAAATCGGAAAGTCCCTTATCAAATGGCAAAATCAAAAGCTCAAACACATCAAACGAATGGAAAACAACCGTAGATAGCTAGAAACTTAAACAAGCAAAAAGGAACAGCAAGACAAGATCTACAATTAAGACAAATGGAGAAAATCGTCCGACAACTCCTTATCAGAGTTATTGCCCTTTATTGACAATTTTTACCATTTTTTTTTGGGGGGGGGGGGGGGGGGGCGTTTTGTCTTATTTCTTAAAATTTATAATAGATAAACAGACACTTTAAATTACAAAAATGAGCAGCAAGGCAAGATCTACTAACAAGTCAAATTCTGCCGATATAGTTAGTGGGCTGTCCCTCTTTATAGGAGTGGTTGCCCTT